AATGTTTTCAAGAGCTGGAAGATCATGTATCATCCTGACTCACAGCCATCCCCACGAACCAGTGTTGCCAGGATAACCTGATGACTATCAGCAATCCTGCAGAACAAGGAGGGTGTTGATGCACATCTTCACCCGCTGCCAGGAGAAGCCCTGTGTTTGCAGATCACCATGCACGTCCCACTGCCCGGCAAAAGGGCAGCCAGAATTCAGAGGAAACAGGAAAATCCAGAGGTTCACCTGTGAACAGCTACCAGTAACAACCAGATGTCTGAGATGTTTAAGCTGTCAAAGGAAGTTTGCCAACCCCATCCATGCCCGATTCAGATCTCATCACTAACACAAGTAAGGACAAAGCCCCTTTTTTCTTTACATGCATTCCTGTAAAGAATTCATGCTTTGTCATTTATTCAGTAACAGGACATACTGTAACTTTGAGTAGGCAGAATTTTCTAACAATGAGGTTATGTAAAAATAATTTAAACCTACTGACAAAGCACTTTTTCCTTCTTTAAGTGCCTTTTATGGACTCCACAGTAGGGACAGATTTTCTAGTTTCCAAATTACCAACTGCATATCTGTTCCTTTCTTTTCTTTCTCATGGCAAGGAGCACAGCAGAGCCAAGACTGGCAGCAACTTCCTAGGTCGAGGCTGCTGTTACATATCCACACACCAAACCAGTGCCCAACACTGTACAGCTTTTCTGAAGTCCCAAAACTGAGTTCAGCTTCCATTAGGAGCAAAACTCCTCAGGGGAGCTGAACAATGTCCACAAAGTGGTTATTGAGAGCATTAGGAACACACAAATCACCTATGATGGCACTTCCTTGCACACATGTTATCAACTCCCCTACTTGTTCCCATCTAAGGAGGTTCCAGTCTCCTGGGAAGTCTCCAGTCCTCAGCAAGGCCTGGCATGGGGTACCAAAGCTGTGCAGGCACCCAGGTTTGGGCTTTCAGATTTCAGAAAAAACATGAAAGGCAGGAACTGCATTTTGCTGAACCTCAAAATAAAGATATTTTACTAAAAAACGAAAGCCACCAATTCAGAAAAACTCGAAGCTGAGGTGTTCAAACTCTGAGTTGCAGGTAGAAGGAGTGAAAGGAAGTTATTCCACACTTCGTGCCCTTGGAGTGGTCTAGGTCAAGAAACAGCAATCTTTGTTAAGAATACCCATTTGCAGGTACTTTACATCAAATGCCATGGACAGACAGACACACCTGAAGGAGAAAACTGGCACTCTCAGAGAAAGTTGTTTATAGTTAAGTGTCTGTAGGGCACAAGTGACAGTATGTGATGACATACTTCAACAGTGAACAAAGGGGTTCTGCAGCAAAAGAGAAGGGAGCACAAAAAAAAAAGCCTCTCTGGGGACTAATGCAGATGGGCACTAAATCCAGCTTTACTCCATTATTTTATTACAGCAATCAACAAGTAACAAACTGACAAAAATTTTCAGAGATACTCCACCACATTCAATTTCCAAGAGAGAAATCTGATAGAAAACTCAATTTGAACTGTCAAAACCTTAAACAACTCCTTTGTCTAAGACCAATGCTGAGCAGTGTCTGCAGCCCAGGCCTGAAACACTTCCTAGGAGCTCAAGCACCCCCACTAGTGCAGGTTCCATTCTCCTGTTCACCAGAGAGCAGGAATATCTGCATCTCCTCTAGTCCAGGGGGACACAAAATCAACAGCCTTCTCTGTGAGGACAGTTCTTTCCTGGAGACCCAACAGCAGCAACTTGTGGAGGTCAGTGTTGTAACAGGGGCGCGCGGGAGGAGCTGCCTCGTCATGATTTCATCAGATTTCCTGGTTAATTAAAGAGGAATTACCTGAACACATCCAGTGGCCTTAAAGCCCCAGTCACTCTATTCAGGTTAATTCTGTAAGGAATATCTAAAACACAAGCAGCAGGCAATGGTAGTTCCCTCCCTTCTGTTCAGAGCCACTTGAGAGAGCTATCTGTCAAATCTGCCACTGCAAAGATGCTTCTTTGGAAAGAGGGAGAGACAGGACAAATCAGTCCCATATCAACCTTTCCAGCTCACTCAACACCAAGTGGCACAATTTACATTTCAGAGGTCAGAATTTCAGTCTCTCCACTTTAGTGCAAAGCAATCATATTTAAATTGTTCCTTCCCACGTGCCACAACATGGTCACTGAAGACCTCTTACATCCACCTTTTTTATGTGTTGAAATTATAATTTAAAGCAATGCATGGAAAAGGTTTTGCTACTGTTTTGAATACTGCAGATTTTTCGGGAACTTTAGAGACAATAAGTATTTTCACTTGATATATAGTAACAGACCATCTCCCCCACTTATTTCTGGGTAGCAGAAACAGTAACGAGTCTCAGAACTCTAAAATAAAAACTGGTCAAATAAGGACTTACGCGTGATAAAGCTTCTAAAGCAAGAGCATCTTCAAGCTTTCGGAATAAAAAGATTCACAATTTTTAAAGCTTTATCTGTTAGAAATACCCACCTTTTCTTAAGCACTAAAGTCAACCTAATACAGTGAAGTACAAGAAAAGGACATTTGTAGCAAAGGTAAAATAATTTAGGTATTTTCTCTTTTACAGAAGGACTGTAAGGACGAAAAGTGGACCCACCACATCCTGGACTAAATCATGGATTCCAAAGCCTTCCCACTAAGCAGTACATCCTGAAAAACCTTTGGAAAAGGTGACATAAAAGCATTCAGCACACACAAAGTCTTGCTTAGCAGACTTGGCTTCCTACACGTGCCATCAAGGCAGAACAGAACTTGAAATCCAACAGTTTGAGCTCATAACCCCATTCCTCTGGTTTGGACTGTGTGGTACCACCACAAAAACCAGAGAAATTAAGAACACATTGGGTTACAAACCAATGGCACTCAGTATCAGCCACATGCTGTAGCTAATATATAATGACATCACTTTTCCTCATCAGGAAAATCCTCAGTGTAGCTTCACACCAGCAGGCTTTGAGTGGGAAGGGGAGTGGAGAGGCTTCCAGCCCACCTTCCACCTTGATGTCAGCACACCCCAGGGGCTGTGGGCAGGGAGAGCCTGGGAAGCACATCGTGGAAATGAGCCAGGTGAAAGGTATCCATCCACAAATGGGGAATGAGAGGGGTGGGGGCTTAAAATGAGCAAGTACAGTTACATCTCAACACCACAAGGAATTATGAGGAGATGATGACACCAAAGCAACTGTGTGCACTTGGAAAGGATAAACGGGAGGGTCAAGACCTTGAGTCACTAGTCAGTACATCCAAGACAAGCACAGGAAAACAACTCCACAAATCAAAATAACTATGCAGCTGGAAAGAGCCTAACAGAAGTCTGGCTATGGAGAAGCACCTGAGATGCACAAAGTCTGATCTGGTCCCTGTGCAGTGCCAGCAGCCACGGCTGGTCCCAGCTGGGTTCCTTCAGGCAGTATTTGGGCTCCGTTAAGCTGCATGCACAGTACAACATATGCAACTCATCACATCCTAATATATCTAAAGAAAACTATCTCTAGCTAATCCAACCTTATGCCTTTGCAGGATTTAAAGTTACAGAGGTATTTGGGGGTTACATGTAATAACAGGAGGTAAAGTTCCACGGATCTTTTTTGGAACAAGCAGGAACATCTCAAGTGAAAAATCATTTTCTGGGCTCATAAGAAAAGCATCCCTGAAGCAGAGTAAGACAAGGCATCTTCTGCTGTGGTGAGCTGGAGCTCTGGGAGCAACTTGCAAGACTGAAATGCTCGAACAGAATATTAATGAAAGATCAAATGCAAAGAAAAAGACACTGGGGAATTCAGCAAGCAGAAAGCTGGGTTTGATGAGAGAGGCTCCATGAAAAGGCAGAAGACACGACCGGTTTTATGGGCCCACAGCACAAAGAGACATCAGTCCACGAGAGCAAAGTCTGGGCAGGTTCTCAGCAGCACCAGTGCAGCTCACACCACCCCTACACTGCCACTCCAGGGTCGTGCCAGGCACGGGGCACAAAGCGCTTCAGGGAACGAGGGGGAAGCAGAAGTGAACGTGTCTTTGCAAACTGCAAAGGTTATAACTTACAAACAAATAAAAAAGAGAGAGTGTTCGGGGTTTTATTGCTAACTATTAAGTTTTTATTCCTTTCTATTACTCATCTGTTATGTGAGGATGTTTTTTAAGCCCATCTGAAACAACTGCATCTGTTAAATACTAGGACTTTTCAGCCCACAGAACAGTAAGGACTTCAGGAACTGGATTTCTAGCCAGGCATATGCTTGAAGGCAGCCCATGACATGTAAAGAGCAAGGAAGAAATAGGACAGAACTGGAGTTACTCAGACTTTTTCCCCAATACAAAAAAAGGACAGAATTCTTCAACCAATACTATTTGTCAAGCCAGGAGAAAAATAAAAATCGAGTCAGAAACTCTGGGAATTGTATTTTTTTAAAAAAGGAACAGAGGTTTAAGGTACAAGTGAGTTACTACAAAAAAGTAAGAGAGAGAAGATGCATAGTGAGTTCTTTACCAGAACATGATCTGTATTCCTAGAGAAGGGAATGTCTTCAGTATTATCTTCTCTAAAACAACATGTGCACACATATTATATTTCTTCTCCACACAGAAAAATGCTAAGACTGAGCCCTAGAAAGACTCCTTCAGCCCAAAAGAAACAGCCTTTCTGTTCTTTTCCACCTGTCCTGCCTGCTGCTGCTTAACAAAAAAGGAAGAGATCAGCACCATACTTACACAGTGACCCAGCTGTGCTCCGTCCTCTCTTTGACCTTTCTTGATTAGCTTTTTCAGAAGCCAAAGAAGCTCTGGTTTGAATATTTCTTTTTACAGGGTTCTGCTGGGACTCTGCAGCCTTCTCCACTCCATGAAAGTATTTCATGTGATAATGCAATAACTTGGCTTTGCGGAAGGATTTGGAACAGTCCAAGAACTTGCATCTAAACTTGTGATCCTGGTCAACAGTTGCAGCTTTTTTTGATGCAAGAAAGTCTGTTCTCCTACAAGGTTTTGTTACTGTAAGAACAAAACAGATAAATTCCCCCATGCATTTGCTACATTTATCAAATGGTTTCCTGAACTTAAAACATAAAAAAAAAAAAAAAAAAAAGTTAAGTAAGCATGCATTCAAACATATTAGCCATGAAATGCTAAAGACAAACTGTTAATGCTTTATCTGCCTTTAAGTTCAACGGGTTTAAAGGGAAAAGTCTGGCCTACACTGGTTTTAAAAAATTGGTTGTCATGACACCAGTACTGTTATGAGTAAGTTACTGTTAGAAAAAACCATTTTGCTTCCCTGAGTCCCTTGCCCAACAGCTGATACCAGTGTACAGTGCTCCTACAGACAAAAGACTGAATCCCACAGAGATTATGTCTCTAAGTAATGTTCTATGAAGTATTTATACTTTTTAACACTTTCCAAGGGAAACAGTTCTGCTTCTCTGCTTACTTTGCTACTGCTTGCTGGGTCCCACCACTGAAACCTGGCTATTTCCAAGGAAGCAATATATCAGAGAAACATTTTTTTTTCAAGTAAAATTGAATTTAGTTCAATTTTAAAGCAGCATTGAAAGCATGAAAGCAAGCTAAAGGAAAACTGCCTGTTACAAAATGTTTCCTACGAGCTATAGTTACCCAGTTTCTCAAAAAAAGCAGGGCAAGTTTTCAGGCTCACACAGAAGAACATTTTAAGGTACTTATTTTCCAGAGCACTGTCATGCAACTTGGGCTGTATTTAAATTGACCTGGTAAACTCCTAGTTCCTGTTTTACCATTTCAGAAACTTTTATTCATGTTTTTGCCAAGAAACAGACAAAAGCAACGTTTTGAACTATATCAGATTACTGTCACCAGTAGCTGTACTCAATACAACACAGGAGAGGTAAAACTTAGGAATTAGATACAAAGAGCTCAATGCAATTATCCATCACTAATACACACACAATCACAAAATCCCTCTCCAGCTAGGAGACAATTTCAAAAAGGTCTTATTTCTAAGAAACAGCTTCCAAAACAATTTTTTTTGCCAGTACTCAAATATCATTTCCATATTTAAAAGTATTTTCAGCTTGCAGGATTAAGCAAGAAGTGTTTGAAGGCAAGACCCAGGCCTAGCAACGACGACTGAGCATGAATGAAAATGAAGCAGCTGAAAACAAGGGACAAAAGGGCTCAGAAACATCATGAACAAGAAGATTTTCTACAAGTGAGCAGGAGGAAGACACTGTGGCACAGGCATGGTAAGAATGTGCTGACAGAGACACCAGCAGGACTGCAGCAAAGCCAGGCTACTGAATCACACCTGCAGAGTGACAGAGGCTGCCAAACCCAAATGGAAAAGCTGCACTGGGAAAGAAGGAAAAAGGATTTCAGGGAGGCTCAGGGCAATGGCTGTGGGTTTAGGGAAAGCAAACACAGACAGGTTCTCTTGACTGTAAAAGCTAAAATCCAGCATTCAGGACTGTGAATGCTGAGAATTTGTTACTGTTTAATATCTAAAACGAAGATAGGAAAATGTAACTGCAGCAGAAGGGAGTGATGGGGTCCAAAGACTTAGCAAAAAAACATTAGAGGGATGACAAGGGAAACTATTGTACCGCCACACAACTGTCAGGATGAGGCCCTGCATCCGAGCTCAGAGCATTTCCCCTTCGCTGAGCTGGACAGACTCTGGAGAACACACAGGGAATGACTTTAACTGATCAGCTACAGGGCAGAGGAGAGCACAGGATCACATTAGCCGAAGCTTAGAAATAAGAGATAACAAAGGCACGGGGCAAGGGAGAGAAAGCAGACAAAAAGCTTACTGCAACATGCCAAAGGAATGTATTCAGAGTAACAAAAATGCGGAAAATCCCACACAATTTGAAATTGCTTCATTTATTCCCATCACTGCCCCATTTGGGGGTATTTTCCTTCTCTACAGGTAACACAACAGAAGTGTCTGTCAGCTGGGCACAGCAGGCAGCTGATACCCCACCTCCTCACCCAGGGCAGCCTCTGCAGAGCCTCCACTCCCAGCTGAGTGCTGTGGAAATCACTTCCTACACCAACACCTGAAGGGGCAGCTGCCAACCTTACAAATGGAATTTTTTGCTCACAACACATACTACTAAAACTGCTTTCTACAGAGACAAAGTTTTGCTGTATTATCTTCTGATTTTCAGGCACTTGCCTTTTTCCAAGGAGCATGGTGGGTGTTTTCCCTGAGCACAGAGCAAAGTGAATGGTGAGTTCACACCTGCTATTTCTTTTCCATGTTTATAACCAAAATTAAAACTCCTCATCTGGCTTTCCATTAGCCATTACAACACTAAGCACAGACACTCAAGGCCAAGCATCAGTGTCTGCTGTAACTCTCAGAAATATCCCTCCAGTGTTCCAGTGAGGAAACCCCTGAGTTTTCTCAGGGCTAAATGAGTCGAGGGTCACCCTGAGCATCAAGTGCACAGTAAAACACAGTT